GCATTACGTGTTCGACAATATTTAGATTTATTAGACGTTTCCAGATCGATGGATTGGTAGAGGAGGTGCTATTGAATGGCCCCCAAGATCGCCAGATTTATCACCTTTGGATTTCTTTATGTGGGGTCATTTAAAAAGCAAAATCTATGCTACTCAGCCAACATCATTAGAGGACCTGCGACAAAGAATTGTGAATGAGCAAAATCTTTATTATTGCATGGAGAGTCATGGTGGCCATTTTCAACATTTACTTGCCTAAATATATATATATAATTTTTAAATTACTTTACTGCCAAATGTATTGATCTCCACTAATGATGATGTATTGGTTTTATTTAAGCTTTAAATCAATAAATCTTCAAAACTACTGAACTGAACTACATTAATTTTATATCATTATAAAGGGAATGAAATACGTTTAAAATAGGATATCACTCGACCCCCCATTCCATTTCATATTTTGGGGATGGTGTCACCCCCGCTTAGGGAGCTGCACGTGCTAACGTGATTTTTGCCAAACTTGTGTCGCCCTCGAAAACAAAATCGACGGGTCTGAGCGTTTTTCCAAAAAAAAACTGAGCCGCTAGTAAATGCGTCTGTTTCGTTTTCGATGCGCCACCCTGTATATATATATGATCGAATCATCTTTATAAACATATGCCTTACGACATACATGATCATGAATATAAAAGGTTTATGACTAGAGATCCATGCAGTCCAGTAGAACAAAGGAAATAGACTTACCTTTCAGGTAACCAAAACATTACAACCAATAGCACAGTAACACTGTAGTTAGGTACACAACGCGCACAACTTGATTTTAGAAGCGATTGTTATACCCATTTGCGTGTAAATGATGCCAGCGGATTCTTACCTGGGATCAAGTTCCCAGAGGAATGGAATGTATAACATAAACAGGCCTACGGGCGGTTGTGTTGAGTTTTGAACTTTCTACAAAGTTGAGCGCGCATGCAAAAATGGGTTTTCGTTTGCGTACATATGGAGTGTCCTCTCAGCTGTCACCCACGAAATAGATCCTTAACAACGGAATTTTTACAAATGACGCGAAGGAATCCATCCTAGAATTTTTAGAAAGATTACAGATACCGTCCAAACAAAAACTAGCTCGATTTAACTAAAAGGAACTCAACGCATTAGATATTCTCATGTACACGCAGACGACCAGCTTAGACTCTTGCTCGATATAAGATAACCAACGAATATTAATACAGCATCAAATATTTTCAAAACCAAAATTCACAACCAACCTCCGCAACAAAGATTTAAAATAATTTTGTACCACATAATCAAAATTTTGTAAATAACCACAACAATCACTTTAATTCCACACTCCCAATGCGATTTGAAGCCCCATTTCCATCGCAACCAATTAACGTACAACCAAGGCCCAGAAATTATAGCGCAGAACCGATAGAAACTGCTTCATCAAGAGTAACTCTAAATAGAAGAAATGATGCTTCAAATAATTTCAGACAAAATGGTCGAACAAACTTTAATTCATAATAACTACATATTACAGAGGTTCCCACTTAGGAAGAACAAATTCCACTGTTATTATGACACAAGTTCAAACAGCCAAAATTACAAAAATGAAGAATATTATGACCACTCTCAAAATTTTAGAGAAACAGAAAGTTTTCAAGACGTCGCCTTCCAAACACCACAAGGATTGATTTAAACAACATCAATTTAGCAAATTATCTACCTTATATTCATTCATTGTAGAAACCTAAAATTTAGGTTTCATTGTAGAAGCCTAAAGATTGCATATTATGTATAATATATAGACATCCCTTTAATTATAGAACCCATTTAAACATTCAGAAACTAGATTTCACCCGAGGCAACAATAATTAAGAAAATAAAAACTTGTTTACCGGAAATATTGAATTAAATCACGTACCTTGATGCAGCTGAATAACGCAAGTGAAAGACCAAGTAGCAACTACAGAGATTCAGAATCCAACCAAACAAACCCAAATATGAATTTTTAGAGCCAGTAGTAATGCCTGAACGAATCAAAACTAGTCCAAAACAAAATAAATTAGAAGCCATTCAGAAATTCTGCATTCTGAAAGCTGGGAAAGAACGATTTCTTTTGTTACGTTGGATATTATAGAAAATTCATAAATGATGTTGCTCACCTCACACGTCCTGGTCCTGAATGTCTAAAGAAAAATAAACAGTTTATCCATACTCCTGTAAGAACATCTTAATGAATGATCCTATTTTGCAATATCCAGATTGTTCTAAACCTTTCAATATCACAGCCGACGCTTCTTACATCGCTACTGGCAAAGACTGGCCTATAGCTTACGCTAGTCGTACTTTGAATCCGGCGAGAACGACTTATTTAACGACTCAAAAAGGACTTCTTGCCATAGTATGGGCAATGCTATATTTCAGACCCTACGTTTTTGACACAAAATTCAATATTATTACTATCACAAACTCTTTCAATAGCTTTTCTCTATTAAGGAGCCTAGCTCAATGTTAGTTCGCTGGCAGCTTAAACTCGAACAGGGCGAGGGCACTATTACTATTGATGACGCTCTTAACGACGTCACTATTGTGAATGGTGAGAACCCTAGCACCGAATTACCTGATCTAGACAACATTCGCAATGATTTTAACAAGTTGCTAAAAATGACCAAGCGACAACAATGATAACGACAATGGCACGAAACCACCAATTTCAGAAGTATCTAAAATTAAAATTTTGCAAGATGTTGTTATAAATCAAGGGAATTATATAAAACAAGAAGGCGAAACGGTCCACAGATGTTCTGAAAATCTTTGAAATTCCTTTTACTGAAAAAGCATTAAACCTTTACCAAAATCAGATTATCTTAGGAATTTCCTTAAGCAAAGTGTATCTAGCACGCCTAACAAAAAGCAATACTCATGGCTTATTCGAACGGACATATTAAATAATTTAGATAAGTTAGAGGAAATATTTGCGAAGCTAGTTAAAGAATATATTCGTCCTCAACAATACCATTGCATGTATTTTACGTGCATAAATTACGAGCTTCTCGACTACCTCGAACGTCACGGCTTGATTAGGGACAGGCACTATAGTTTCCGGCACTAGCTATCCACCGGGGACCTCATAGCTTACGTCAAGCAGTTGTGGAGTCAACTCATCCAGTCTTATGGTCTGGCTTATGTCGTTGCCCTTGATATCACGAAAGCGTTCGATCAGCAGTGGCACGCTGCCTTCTTATGCAAACTTCCATTCTATGGCCTCGCAGAGAAGTTTTGCAGATGTGAGGCTGACTCTCCATGGCCGCAGTTCCTCTTACATATCAACGACCTCCTGTACGATCTACCCAATATACGGCTTTGTTAATGATAGCACTCTGCATGCAGGAATTCAGAGCGGCAAGCCGATATCTGCCGGTAAGATGGAAAATAGAAGACCCGCAGCGACTTCCTCTCTGACGAGAGATCTGGAGGTTATCACTGCTTGGGTACCCAACAATCTTGTATAGTTTAATGCTTCCAAAACACAGTACTGTACCTTGACGAGCAAAAAGCGTCCTAGCGCTCATCCGATTTCAATAGATGGCCGAGTTCAGGAAAAGGGCCGTTCATTTCGGCTGGTCGGAGTCCAGATCACCGAGGACTTGACCTGGCACAAACACATGTCGTCAATAGCGGCAGCAGCTGGGACAAATCTAGACTACTTGTTTAGGGCTAAGTACTTTTCTCCGCAACCTCCTTTCTCTTTATAATAAGATCTAGCGTCGAGTATTGATCACACGTTTGGGGTACTGCCGCTCCGACTATATTATTTATGCTCGATGCTGTCCATAGGAGGGCTGTCCGGCTGATCGATTACTCTCCTCTAATAGAGTCTAGGGGCCTTTCGCACCGGCGGGCCGTCAGCGATCTAGCTCTCTTCTACCGCTACACCAACGGGCTTTGCTCCTCAGAGGTCTCCTCCATGACGTGCCTGCCAGACAGATCTGCCTGACTTCGGACTCCCATCGTAACCATGTCGAACTGCGTACGTCCAGAACTGGCCGATACGGCCACTCCTTGGTCCCTAGGGTGTCGAGATTGTGGAAGAATTTACTAGAGGAGGCTTTTCCCATTTCTACTAACTTTAGGATGTTCAAGAATCGAGTTAACAAAGTTTCTTTGGAATCTTCGTAGCAGCCGCGGTATCCTGGTATTTCAAAAAATGGAACGAAAATTATCTAACATGTGGGGTGAATGTATTTATCTTGCTAACTTACAGAGAATACACATAGAATTCCCTTCGGGACATAAATAATAAAAATCCAGGTAATGTACATTATGTGGTCGGGATACATTCTTGCTCATGTTTAATAAAAAAAGAGTTGTTTATTCTTTAGTAGTATGATTGCCTGAATGTATTCGTCTACCTAAAATATTAGGAAATGAATGACATTAGGTTTATTTATAAATTGATTCAAGAACTTGATCATGATACCCTTTAACTAACTATACATACTCGCATATATCCGTTTCGCACTCACTAGTGTTCGTCAATTTAATTCACTTGGTACTGATCATATCACATGCAAAATCGGACATGTAGACATCATATAAATTTGAACCGCCTCATTATTGCAGAAACATCGTAATATTTCACATTTCTAATAGCAATAATTTATGTAATCATAACAAGAATATAAAATGCATGACTGTTAACTAAATAAAAATATATTTTGAGAACATCATGAATTATTTCATTTTTGGTTATTTAAGATGCGTTACCTCTGTCATGTCTATTAAAGGAAAATGAACTTAATACAAAGGATCACCGTTCAGTGTAAAATTATTATTATCAATGATGATTGCAAAATTACTTCTAGACTCTTTTGAAAAATGGGTATCTTGGAAATTTTCTGCGACCATATCTTGGTGTCGAAGGTACTTTTGATCTGAAAGACCTCACATTATTTCTTGCAAAGTTTCTGTGAGATGTTTATGAGCATGCTTTTTAGGATATACGCTTGGCATTCCTGATACAGTGATGGGGCTTACGTTTGTTGCTGCAGGCGTTTCGGTACCAGATGCTCTCTCAAGTATAGCTGTTGTAAAAGAAGGGTGAGTATAAATATTGATGCTATATAATGAAATTTTAATCGACTGAAGTATAATGGTACTTCTACATCGTGGCTCCTGAAATGACTCCCTAACAAGATAGGTGTTGTAGTTGCATTTGTGAAACCGGAAAAATATATCGTTAGAATGGATGAAAATATCGACTTAATTGTTCACAGGTATTATGAAGATCATGAATGGCACGCCACAAAACGTATAACGCCACAGTTTCTTTGGCAACTTCTATTACATTTTTAAAAAGACTCAGATAGTCATATCACTTTTTAAAGAATTGTTGAGTCGAATATTTCAGGTTACAATCCTATCAGTATAGTTTGGCTTTCAGCATTATATAAAATCTATTACGAAAGTAATTCCACATCATCGCAATTTTATCTGCAGTATATTATATATCTTAGACAGACCTATATTTGTACCGACTTTTGTTGTTCTTTTTTATTGTACCTTCTGCTTTAGAATTTGAGACACTGTTTTTTAAATCACCCTATCTGCTATATTCCGTGAGATTTTGTTTGCAGAATGGGTATTAAAAGAACATGATCACTAATTCAATGATGACAACAATTGCGCTCTATGAACCTCATGTTGCTTTATGTAAATTTCAGCTGTTTTATATGTTTATGTATGATGAATAAATTATATTAATTTCAGTTTGTACAGAAGTAGATAGGGTTCATATGTTCGGGAAAGTGTCAATGACATTGAAATCGTGTGACCTTGATGTGATGCTACCTTGGAATTGTGAATGGTCTTCACCTTGTAGTGATGTGACCTTGAAATTGTAAATGGTCTTGACCTTGAAGCTCTGTGACCTTCAAAAGGTGACTGACCTTGACCTTGAATTCTGAAAACCTTGATGATGTGAACGACCTTGACGTAAAGAGGGGATAACATTGGATTTATGCCTTTGAACATGTGAAGAGATGTAACATGATTCAGTTGTTAGCTAGCAGGCGAATGTATCGGAGTACACAAGCAAGTGACAATAAGTGATACACGTCGGGAAATTTTAGTACTGAACCATAGTTCAAATATGGATCAATCCTGCGGAAGAAGAAAACGTTATGGCGACCAATGAGTGTTCCATCAAGAAGAATACGTTCATTAAGAGTGACCAGATCAGATGGAACTAGGACGGTAGAGTGGTATGACAGAATCGTAAATGGTGAGGCACGACTCTCAAATTGAGAGAAAGTGAGATGCAGAAAACAGTGACATTCAATGAGGCAAACCACAAAGTGCTTACAACGTATGCATGGCAATACACGTGCAGAAAAGCAAGACAAAGTACCTGGGAGATGGATGTTGCAGATCGATGCACATTTCACCGAGTGCAGCTAGTTGGAGAATGAATGTTGAAAAGCTACTCGACAGTGGAATATAGACAAAAAGTGTTCAAGGAACGGTTCGAAGTGTGAACCAGGAAAGTGTGTATCTGTTGTATTTTCAAACAAAATGCAACTTTGTAAAATTAAGCTTGATTAGATTGTAAAAATTTAGTAAGAAAACAACGGTAAAGTTACGCCATAGTTGAGTTTTCATTGCACAATTCTATATTTTGCTTCAAACCTTAAAATTTGTGAATGGATTGTATTAGAAAATATTTGTGAAATGAAATAAAATACGTTCATTTTTTTCACCTTAATCTTTTATTGAAACTTAGAAATTATGTCTGAAAAATAATCTCAGACAAATGTCCGTCTCTAGAAGTCGCGCAAACCTGAGCCCTCTTATTACATTTTCCATCACTTGGGTAGGTTGCGAGAGGAATATTTTCAATCGCTTCCGTAATATTCAGCTGCTCTACAGTATTTGGTTTGTTGGTATAAGCCCCATTTTTCAAAAATCCCTCAAAAAAGTCAGAAGCCGTTAAATCCGGTGACCTTGATGGGCAGTTGTCATGGCCAAATCGATGAATTAAACGTCCAGGAAATATTTTTCGCAAAAGATTCATTGTTTCCCTAGCTGTCTGACAAGTTGCTCCGTCCTGCTGGAACCACATGTTTTGCAGGTTAAATTGTTGTATTTGAGGAGGCAGAAAGTTTTGCACCATATTACGGTAGCGCTCGCCAGTGACAGTAAGAGAATTACCTGCAGCGTCTTCAAAGAAGTAAGGTCCAATGACACCTCCATACCAAACACCGCACCAAACTGTGACTTGACGAGGATGTAGTGGTCGTTGATGGATGAAACGAGGGTTCTCTAATGCCCAGATCCGACAATTCTGCTCATTAACAAATCCGTCCATATCGAAGTCGGTTTCATCGCTCATTATCAGTTGTCGCTAAAAATCGTTATTTTGAGTATTAAGCTGCAATATTGCATGACTGTATTGTCGGCGTCTTCATGGTCACTAGGCTGTAGTTCCTGGGTTAACTGAATTTTGTATTACCGCAAAAGTAAGTCTTTTTTTTTAAATAGTGCATAATGACGTTCGACGAATACCCAGTTCTTGAAAACGATGTCTGGAAGACATCTCAAAGCGCTTCACTACAATTTCACGAACTCTATCGATATTTTCTGGAGTACGACCAGTTCGAACACGGCTCGACCTTGGCAAGCCTTTAACTTCACCTGTTTGTTCAAATTTCCGCACCAACTGACGAATGGTGTTGACACTGGGCACATTATTCCGACAGAAATCTTGTCGTAGCCTCCGAATCGTTGCAACAATCGACTCAATATTTAAGAAAAACATTTTAACAATACGGACGCGTTGTGAGATCGTGTAGCGCTCCATGATGAATTGGACACATGTGCTTTAAACGGCGCGGCGTCACCTACTGGAATGTAAGTGAGTCAGTTATATATTGGCCACCCTGTATATATGAGGATGCACTGAATTAGTCTCTAAAACATGTATTATATACCATAGTGGGAAAATGCTAAAGTAACCAAACAGGATTTCAGTGCACAATTCTGTATCATTTTCAAGGATGATACAGCACTATTGTATATTTGAGAACGCACTGAATTATTTTATAAAGCATGTGATATATGCAAAATAATACTACCTACTTAAATCTATAGATTAGCTGCTTGCACCATTGTCCGCTAACAATTCAAGAAATAAAAATACAACTCAATCCCGATAATTGTTTTATTTAAAAAGAATTATGATATTACAAAGTTGTCATATAGACTATGACAATTAGATAGTGCACAGATAGATATAGTCTTTGATTGATAAAAACATGTTGTGGTAGCGGGTTCTAAACGAGGATGCTCTGCAAGTTCGATGACTGGTTTTGAGGAAAAGTTTTTTAAATAATTCTCTTTTCCTCTCACAAAAATGCGGTCTGCATGCGTAGTTTAGTCGGACATGATTTTCTGGAAGGTGTGTAATGGGGTGAACCCTGAGTTCCAATCAATGCAGTGATGATTCTCCATCAATCATATAGCCTGCTTCTATAGATCACAGGGAAGTAGATCCAATGAAAAAGGAGGTTTGAATATATAGTGACAAATTTTTTCACATCTAAAACTATACTGCTACTACTACTATAAACTAACTCATTCTTTGTAAGCAGTAAACTAGGACAACACACGATGTTTTAAACAATAGGCCTTAATGACTCTACGTAACTTTTTAAGGTTACACAAGTGTTTCCTGAGAGACTTGAGGTAGATGATCCTCATTACCAAACTGAACGTTGGATTGGGATGCGAGCATTTTTATAGTCAGTCTGCGGTTAACGCTGTTTAACAATATTTGTCAAAGGGTTATAATACGAGTGAAAGAGACGATTGTGAAAGATGAGGCAATATGCGGAGGGGTTTGAGGGCACATTTTCACTGCTTTCAATTTTCAATAGATTACTAGCTACTAACCTTGGTGTATACTGATTTTTAAAGCTCTCCGTTTTTTTTACATAGATAAATCAATTAAAAGACCTCACAGTAACTGATAAGTAACTGTATCTCAGTGAACGTTGCTGTAGCAGCACGCCTTGGAAAAACAGTTCTCTCCCAACTATGATCGTGATAATGACCTCGACGAGGAACAACACATTGTAAGATCTGTCAGGAGATATTTTAGGGCCAACCACGTTAGCGGAGGCACTGAATCCTCTTCAGATGACTCGTCTAGAGAAGATTAGTCTGAGGCTTCGCATAGTACATTAGAGGAACCCTCCGAGGTTCCACATTGCACTCCAACGGCGCTCCTAGGTCTTGTTAAAGACCTCAAGGTACGTAAAGCACCTAGGGAGGATCAAATCACCAACAAGGGGCTGAAGCTGCTCTCGCCGAAAGCTCTAACATATTTGGTGACAATAACCAATGCGATGCTCAGAACCCAGCACTTCCCTGCAGGGTGGAAGACTGCTGAGGTCATCATGATTCCAAAGAAGGTAGGTTCGATATTTCCTCAGGATTACCGTCCCGTTAGTTTGCTGTCAGCTCCTTCTAAGCGACCCAAAAATGTCATTTATCGCCACCTTGAGCATTTTTCGTCAAATCACCATGTGATTCCTGACGTTCAATTCAGTTTTCGGTCCGAGCATAGCACTGAGCTACAGGCAGTCAGGCTGGTGAAATATGTAACCAGGGGCTTCACCCTCACCATGGTGTAGCACGCGGGCCTCCTTTATAAACTAATCCTAAAGGGTTTTCCTTTTTGTCTTCTAAAATTACTGAAATCCTTTCTCGAAGGAAGGCAGTTTCTGCAACTGTGAAGTCTACCTCTATGCTGACGACACCACACTTATCGCTCAGTCGTGTACATTCAAAAAACGCAGACGGCAATCGTGTACCATGGATAAATTCTCGGTGTCACCCTTGATATAGGCATGACCTAGCAGAAACATACAGCAGCCTTGAAAACAAAATTCCAAACTGCGTTTCGGCAACTATATCCTTTGTTATCTAGATCCTCCAAATTGAGTTTGATAAACAAAGTTCGACTATATAAAATGATTATTAGACCAGCCATTACTTATGCATGTGCGGCTTGGTGTTTTCTTGCCAAGACACACATGCAAAGTCTTCAAGTACTGCAAAGCAGAATTTTGCGGTCAATTTGCAACGCTCCGTGGTATGTCTCAAATGAGACACTACACAGAGACCTTGACGTTCCTTACTTGAGGGATTATGTTAAGCTTCAGGCGCAGCGACTTTATAATTAAGCGGAATCGCACAGCAACCCTCTGTTGCGTGATTCAGTGGACTACACAGTGGAGCAAGTTCGTAAACATTTAAGGTCGCGGCTCGCACTGTAACCAAAAAATTAGCGCGAACTTTTAATAAACCCAAAATCACACTCTAACAAAACCGAATCAAAATTTGGTTAGTTCACCTCAAAGTTAATCCGTGTATCAAGTCAAAAAGCCTAGGTGTTTCCTCTTGAACTAGCACTTCTGTTTTTATTTTCTTTGCTGTTCTCTCTTTTTTTCCTTGGCATTGTCTGGTTTCTGGACAACCAGGACGGACAGATTCGACTAACGTACATTAGACAGTGACTAATGGACAAAGGTCCTACGGACCGCCCAGACAAGCAAATTACGGATAGACGGCTGTAGCAGCTTCTACCGTGCTAGTTGGTTTTGCCCATATTGAATTTGTTAACTGCTGTCACAAAATTTCTGACAAGAAGGTCATTCTCTGTCAATGGATTTTATCTATTTAGCGATGATACTTTCCATGCCGTTCCTCTAGCAGAGGTTGCCGATAATATAAATATACCTAACAAAGTAAAGGCGTCTATTGATACAAACCCTGTACTAGTTGGTCCAACCCTAAAGAAAGGCGATACTCTGAAGTTATATACTACCCACAGTCCTACACCCAAGGTTGAGGGAAATGTTGTGTTGCGCTGTCCATTGACACAGCAATGATAGACTATAAAAAGCAAGTCATCGAGGAGCTGCATAGACCAGCTCTTAGAAACTATAGACGCCGAAGAGATATTGTAAAGGGCCTTAACGGTCTTCTGCAAGCTGAGTTGGTGGAAATGCTTCCATATTTGAGGGTAAACAAACGATTCCAATACATTTTAGTTGTCATTAACTTTTTTAGTAAATTTGTATCTGCACAACAGGCATACGAAAAACGGGAAAACACGTTACAGCTGCAACGAACGCTATTTTATCACGGTAGAAAGCACCTTCGGATGGCAGCTGTCAGCATTGGCAGTCTAATCGAAGACTTCCTTAGGCATTGTGATTTCATTCAGCAGCAAGGTGAACACTGGGAAGTCTCGTTTTGATGGACTAACAAACCGTCGAAGCTATTTTTTAGCGCCTCTTCAAATACGTGACACAACTGCATAAACAGTAGATAGTTCTTCTTGGCACTCATATTTGCAACACCACATTACCAATTTAGGTTTGGTATCTGATGGTTGCCATTTAACCCACTGACTTCATTCAGTAAGCTCAGTAGAATATCCAATCTTGCATCCCCAGACATGAAATTCTACGTCTCTGTGACCCCAAGCTAAGGTCTTTGTGGACCCTGATATTAAGAAACGTATATCATCCATGCTGGTTAATGCTACTTGCCTTATATAATTTGTATACATATGGTGTGATTCAGATCAAAATACATAAATTGTGCAAGATACGGATGATCGTTTCTCCTCTACAACATATTTGTAATGTAATAAATTCAACTGATTTTTTACACTTGCTTCATGCATACCTTTAACTTTTTTAGAAACCATGTCCACAGCATCTATACAGTATGCTTTAGCACCTGTTCCATAAAACGCAGACAGTACCTTACTATCATATTCGTCCTGACACCGTTTGAGATATATTGTGTGGGTTGGACGCATTATGATTAAATCCAACCAAACACACTCTTTTTCGTACATATATTTTTCTTATCCTATCATTGATTACCAATATATCTGTATTAACGCGATGCTTGCAGATACTGAAGACTAAACATATTTAAAGGTATATTTCCAACGTTATCCCCTCCAGACTCCAAGGTGGCTTACAATCCCAAGATCGTTCATAATTTCAAGGTCATATACAACGTCAAGGTCGAGCAAACTCAAGGTCATTATACCTGCAAGGTCACCGCTATTCAAGGCCTTTTAGAGTTTCAAGGTCAAGGTCATTTACAGTTTCAAGGTCGCATCGCTTCAATGACAAGGTCAATTAAAAATTAAAGGTCACGTAGCTTCAAGGTAATTCGCGTTTCAAGGTCACACGATTTCAAGGTTATTGACACTTCATGGTCGCGTGACGTCGAGGTCGACACCCGAGGCCGTTCCAGAACACATAAACCCTATCTACTTACAGAATACAGCAACAAAAATAATTTCTTTCCAGCTACGGTGACATGGCAGTTTCCAACGCTGTAGGCTCTAACGTCTTCGATATACTCGTATGCCTTGGTCTTCCTTGGTTCCTCAAGACTGCGTTAAGTGGTGGAACGGTTGTCAAGGTCATTAGTAAAGGTAATGGTGAGAGTTATAAAATTAGCATATAAAGCGTGTATGAGATTTTAGGATAGGTATATGCAGCATACTGTAACTGATCAGAGTGCTGTTATTATATATGTTTCTTCTCAGGACTAGCATACTCGACATTGTCCCTGCTGTCAACAGTGGTATTCCTGGTTGTTGCCACGCACTACAATGGCTGGAAGTTAGACAGGAGGTTTGGTATCATCTTGATGGTCTGGTATCTCATCTTCATCACATTCGCCAGCATGTACGAGCTAAATGTGTTCGGCAAGCTGAACCCTCCCGAATGCACCACCGATTGGTAAAATGTTAGTTAAGATTTTGTTAATTTTGGTGCTTGTGACGAGACTAATATTCAAAGCAATAGCACTAGCTGAATATTTTATCAATCTTGTGTACTTGTTATATTTAATAACTCTTATACAGAGTGCAAAAAATGGTGACAGGTACGTTGACTTCACTTCAGGCGCAACGCTATACTGAGTTCATAAAAAATCAGAATAATTTAGCTCCTTTCCAGGCGACTTTTTTCTAAAACAGGTAGCATTATTTTTTTATGTTGTATAAGCATCCGTTAGGTTGACTCCTTCTAAAACATCCTATAGTACTATTACTGGTTTTTCTCTAAGCTACAATCATGACTACTTACAATTACTTGAATTAATCCGTAACTTTGTTATATAATATCCCAAAGTGTTTGATAATTTGCGATTATGTTCCATAACAGTCTCGTCCATACACCGAAGTTGAAGTATTGTTTAATGAACAAATCCAAAGGACACACAAACAAAAAGCAGGTGTTATATCTGTTGTAAATATACTCGTATGTACAGCCAAATAGCGAAGAATTGCATAATCATGTATGTCTTTTGGATATTTCTAGAAATATTATAGGAAATCTGAAGATGCAAAGCAGTGTTGATGTTATACGTTTTTTGGAAGATACTTATTGAATGTTATTGTAGATTTCATATTGTTGATAAATAATATCATTGACTTCCTCTTACTATAGTTACGGTGTACAGTGTGTTGCGTGAAAACATCACTACCATTGCCTCACCAATGTTTATGGTAAAACATATTGATTCCACATCATCGATACAATTTAAAACTAATATTATTCGTTGATTGTGTTATCGTTATATATTCTTAAATTGCTCCAAAAGGTCCTGCGTTTGGATTGAGGAGTAGTTAACAAAATTGGAATAAAAGGGGTTGAAGGACAGCTGTCAAAAAATGTTTGACATAATTCGAACATTATTCTTTTTGAGGGTAGAAATTAATAACCTAAGAAAATATACATTATAGACATGCTTCTAAGCTGAGAACCAAATTTGTCCGACGGCTTGAGTTCAATGAGTACAAGAGAAAACTGTGTATATAGACACTTGTGACAGGTACATTATCGTAGGCCGAAACATGGACAACCAATCTAACAGACATGGTGATATCAATGTTCTTCTTTTGCAAACCACTATTTTATGAATGTTTTATGTACCTACAGCTCTGTTTCTATTATTTCTACGTAGGCTATAAGATATTGTAGTTAGAAATAATATGCTATATCTCCTTTCCAGTATTTACTGATTGAGTTATCGATATTGTACAGTAAACTGTATCAGGATTCCACATGGTGATCCTTCCCTTGCCCTGGTCACAGGCATGAAACTAGTAAATCTGAAACAAAACAAAAATAAGTAGCACATACGTAACTCGCCCTGTTGTACTCAAATCACTTGTTTCCTTTTATAAATTAGCAACCCTGAAGTAAACTAGTAATCATCATTTTATAACATTTGTAACAATCAAGTTTGTGGACAAGTGTCAAGTTAGTTGTCACTGTCAAAAGTGAAAACTTTAACATATCAACTGGCGTGGAAATAGTTTTATTTTGAGAGTACACATCTTTGAATTGTGAATTGCGTCGAATCTGTTTCCGGATCAGTCATTATGGCGCTCCATTTTAGGTCAGGATCACCAGAACTTCTGCAACATTGCATCATTGGGGCGCTTGGCAACACCGCATCTCGTACATTCCAAAGCAAAGTTTCCACCTCCATGATCATAGATGAGCTATTTTAGTCAGTACCCATCTAGCGCTCATTGGGGAGTATTGTCCTGCTTCAAAATGTATCGCGTAATGATATTTGTTACATTTTCCGACCGTTCGCTGTCGCAAAATGTAACAATAACTCAGCATGTGTTGATCTTATCGCCATCGTTGGAAATCAAAGATAATTCTAAAATAAATTAAAACACTAAGTCGCATCAAAATTGAAATAATCTAATCAAAATGAAAACAAAATATTAAATTAAATATTCGAACAGACTTCCTTCTTAGCTTTGACAGTAATCTAACCTATTGTAGAAGCCTGTGCGAACATTTTCTGGTGTAACACATTGGCAACGCGGCAGATTGCACGACCTTCTGCGTCACCGCCGTCGCTAGGCAATGTGGTGATGACTTTCGCTCTTCAGATGGCTTCTGTATCTTTCTAACACGTGTTGATACACACTTCTCGCGCTTCTCTCCCGTACATTGAACTCAAGCCGTCAGACAAATTTGGATTTCCCTGTAAATGTTTTTTACATTATCATTGTGGGGTTCACGAGATAAATTTATAAAATTAGTTTATTTTGTATAATAAGACTACGACAACATGAAAGGTGTTAATTATTAAAAATTATATACATTCGTTGCATATTTTCGAAACACGCCAAAAGATGAGATTGAAGTGTATAGCTGTTTCGTAGCATCTCTTTATGTAGAGGAAGCTCCAACATACAGACTGCATCTTGCTTGACATTAGTACCTTATGGGGTAATATTAAAAAATAATATTCAGTCACCTCTCTTTAAAGACTATAAAAAAGCTTACCTAGCAGTTTAACACAAATTACCAATAATATGCTGTACTCATTAAAGCACTTACCAGAAACGAGTCTGTTAGAAACCTAGAGACTTCAGAGTTAGTGTTAATGAAAAGTTAAACTAACCCTATATTATATTTTTTTAACAAAGGATACAACACAAATCAGACGAGAAAGATGGTACAATGAGATTAGTTCAGTTTGTAATGTCGTATACTCCTGATTGAAAGTCCCCAAGGGCACAAAGTTCGACAATGCGTTTATGTGTCAGCGCCATACGAAATAAGTGAACAGATCAACTAATGGTGTCATGGGTAAAGCGTATTTTTCCTAACTGTTCTCTTCCCTCTGGAAAGAAAAACAACATTGTGCCACGCTTCCGATCTCTCGTGACTGTTGGCTTGAATGGGAAGTGCGAACCAGTGAGGGTCGTCCACTATTAACTCGGTCAAGATTCTTTGAAGCCGATCATGGAAGAACCTCTGGTTGGAAACTGTGCAGTTTTGACTTCAGTTTTTAGTGTTATGCTAGCGGAAAGGTTGAGGTTATCATTTAAAAAATGCCACCTGGTGGAATGTCTCTCTCCTGAACCCACGCTTGAAAGTCAAACTTGTTTGATACCAAGCGTGAGATGTCGTGGATTTGCCTCTCTCGCAGTGACTTCAGAGGCGAACTTTGGACACTTCGTTCAGATGAAAACAATGCACGAATGCCAGGACCACGCTAGCGTGCCACGCTTTATGAGAACATAGGTTAAGAGACAAGGCACCCTATGCAACCGATCTTCAACACAGCTGCTACTCGTTATTGAACACGTTAGGAGGGTAATTAATACAGGTTGTCTCTTTCATTCATTTTTGGTAATACTCCAATTTTAAAACAAAATTGCCACACTATTCACTAATTGCAAAACTACCGATATGACTTTCATACATCAATCTCCCACACATTCATATGGAATTTACATACATTGGTGCGAGAACGTTTGTATAAGATTAAAGTCAACTAGTAAACAAAACCGACACTTTTATCGAAACATATTGGGTTATTTTCGGAAAGTTTATGCGATTCATGCGATGAAGATGAACAACAATAGAAATCGACAGGTACATCTTGTTTGGCCTAACAAACAAGGTTAAAAATTGCTTTAAAATAAACCAATCTCAAAAAATTCTTCGATGTACTCTCGAAGAAGGTTTTAACTTAAATCTAGCTACTTGGCATTATTAAAAATTACAATCTTTAATTAAATTTGTTTGCATTGAAATACTGATTTTTAAGTTTTTTTCACATTAAATCACTTATAACTCGAAAATGATCAGCTTGTGAAAAAAGCTGCTAAAGACCTTTTGGCTTAGAACGATCCAAAAAAACTAAAAAAAGAGCAAAAAATATTTTTGTGTGATTGAAAAAAAAGTGTTTTTAGTTCAATAATTACGTCGTTGAGTGTTGCAACAATTTGTCTCAACATGCCGTTCAGCGCGGCGCGGCGACAGCGACAGGAGTTAGCAACCACGGCAAAGCCTGATATCGAATCGTGACACTATTGGCAAAACACTGATAAGAAAATCTATCACTATCAATGTGACAAACTGAAATTCAAATTTAAAAAATTATGCAATTTAAATATTTCACAGTGGAAGTGTAATGGTGGTAGATTTTATGCAAAAGTGTGGTTATAGTCTGGTACTGAAAAGGAAGGGAGCGACAAAACACATCGCACTCTATTGCTGACGCGCCGTGTGCCTTTGAATTTAGAAAGTCATCCAAGGCCTCTAATGACGAATTTAGAATTGAGTTTCCACAAATCAAAATGGCGAATCCAACATGATGGACATGTTTTTATAAGAAATGTTTGGATTGCGCTCAGATTCAAGTTTTTTATGTTTGCAAGATAATAATAGCCTTTATTTAACCTGTCAGCAGCAGCCAAAATTGACACTGTCGAAATAGAACGGACGTTTTTTTCTAAACTATGAATTTCGGAAAATCTCATCTACATACACATATAGACATTCAATTATACGCTTTTGATGCGACGTTCACTCCACTATAATGTCGCATACAGAGCCATATAAGTGGAACTAATGATCGGGGACGGCGTCAGATTTGTGTAAATGATAAAATATATGCTCTCCCTCACTCAAAGACAAAGAGCTATATTTATATAAAAGCAAAGTAGTAAATATATATTAGGATGTACGGCAGAGTTATTCGCCATATATAAATATAAAAAATTCTATTAAACTGATTTAAGAGTGCTGGGGGATTATCACAACATTCTTGATGTAATTATTTATTTTAATTAATTAATAATGTTCAAGACATATAATTCATCAAATAGCTGAGAATTGTCGAAATATTTTGCCTTTCCATCAGCTAAAACGTGGGCAAGATCTTCACAGGAATTTAGTCAGTTTTTTTTACACAGAAACATAAAATGTTGGCTTAACTGTTTGAATCTCCAGGTACACTCATAACTGTAACAAGCATTACACAGGCTTCTATGTGCATCAACAGGTTCACAGCATAATAATACAATAATTCAACAGCAGCTTTGGTTCCAGAAAAACATATTACCTGTATCTCGTCTAAAGTATTAGTATCATGATTCAAGGAAATGCTAACACCAACCCGTAATATTATTGTAAGTCAATACTATTTCTATTTCCTAGACATTGCCCAGAAAGGCAGACATACTATCGCAGAATTAAATTTGTAGCTTCGCTATGCAGTGCAATTCTAAATGAACTGAGACTAAACGTATTCCTACAAGAAACAAGCTTATAGCCATGAGCATTTAATACTTTCATTTCATTAAGCATAATATTGCTGTTACCCTTTAGAGTAATTACTTATACTGTTTCGAAGCTGAGAACTGTCAACGCAGCAGCAGTCCCAATAAATTCAACTCCTACCATGTTCATTTTTGAGTTCTGTCGCAATTAGTCATATTTGTGTGTGTAGCCGACCCTCCGAATGATATCAAAAGATGAATTATGCATCCCTGTAATTGTGAATCACATCTAGAGGCGAGATGTTTTATTTTTATTTTTGGCTGGGTTTTTTGGTTCTCGACCCATTGTGCGCCGCCGATAGCCGGTGGGACAAGGGACAATCGACGATTATTGATTCAGCAGTCTTCATGTTTATTTTTAGATTATTTCAAGTGATCATACGCACTCTCAATCAAAATGATGCAAATATCTGTAGAAACAAGGTATTTGTTTCTCAGCTTCCATAACTAATTCCGATCCATCCGATTAATAACTTCCATGATATCCAGTGGTTTTTAAATATAAGCATGTCTTTTTCGCTCCAGTCAGTTTTATTCAGATTTTTGTTCTATAGTAACTTTACTCTAAAGTTGAACGTTTTGAGTTATAAGCGATTTAATGTCTGAAAAACTCTAAAAATCGGTATTTTCAATGCTTGAAAATTCGGTTCAGAATTGTAATTTTTAAAGTTGCTAACTATCAAAGCTTAATTTAAAACCTTCCCTCATAAGACACAAAGAGTTTTTTACGATTAGTTGATAAAAGCAGATCTTAATCTTGTCTGGTAGCCCAAAATTGGCGAATTTTTTATTTTGGTACATACATTCATACATGCGATCTCTCTTGAAACATATGCGGGGGTTTCTAAGATACACTTACCAAATACGTACAAGTTTTTGGCGCTTTATATATATATATATATATATATATATATATATAAATGTAAAGATCTGTTTCAATGTGAAGACCTATTAAAATTAAAACTCATTTCGGCATATGATGGTATTCAGCTCAGATATCTAATCTTTTTTTCTTTGTTGGAACCTCCATACTTCAAAAACTGGAAATTATCGAACTTTGTGCCCATGGAAAAGATCATATTGTACTACATGAAAGAATCAGTGCATAAGTAATATTAGAGATATATTTCACCTATTGCTGGCTCGGGGCCTACAAACCTGGCCATACCATTTCTTGTTCCCCAGCGTATTCCGGAACCCACATTAAGGTCGCCAGATGCCTCGCTGCTAAACCATCCAGAGCCTTTCTACAATGTGACACAAGGCTCGGAGTTTCCTTGCAGACACTTAATGCATTGATTGCGGCCTGACAGTTGGAGCAGATTGCATAGATTTCCGCTTGTAAAATTGTGGTGTACCTGGCAAAAGTCAGTGAGACCCTTTTGTACTAGGCCCAAAGACTCCTTCGCTGGAGCCGTCTTCAGAAACCGAGTTTACCATACTTGCGTACTTTCCTCAGAGACCTTCTCCGACTCCTGGCACCCCATTTGTTCTTTGGATACTCCACATTGAATTTGCGGTTTAAGCGATACTTAGGAGTGATCAGGTCATCTCTATTTAGCGGGACGGGAGCCTCTCGTTGCAAATCAACTAAGATGGCAGGGTTCATAAAGGCCCAGTAGCCCTGAGTCCACAACTGATATGCATACAATATACTGCGAACTCAAATGATTCAACTGTACCCCCTTTCCTGTATATTTTGTGCCGTACTTTTTGTGTGCTGACATTGAGAAAAGCAAATCAATATCATCACACTTTTGAAATCAATTATATGTGCACACCACCGCCACCTTAAAGAAATATTTAAAAAAATGCGCCCATTAAATATCTGTTCATAAATATGCGATTTTTTTCGATGAGAATGAATATGCAATCTGTAATGGTAGCGACATCATCAAATTGGAAATATTAGTCAATTACATAAACGTATTCTTTAACCTAAGATTACATCAAATAATAATTATCGAAATGTCTCGCAAGGTTTGAATTTTCGTGATTTATCTAATAGTTAAGAAACTTTGAGTATGAACAAAATAATATTGAAATATGTTGTATGTAAAGTATGTAACTTATGATTATTCACTGCTTAACATGCGAGGGAAGTGGTGTTTGCTCTCATTTGAGTACTGAATACATAAGCTATATGTCAACCTTTATCATTGCTTGCTCTATCTTACACTTATTATGTTTTATTAAATGTCACAGAAAAACATATGTATATAATTGTAATGTTACGCTGTAACTGCATGCCTGAAAATCGAATCGAAATCAAACAAGTACATGTATTTTTTAGTTAAAAGATTGCGCTAATCAAAAATGTAATTTACTATTCAGGGTGTAAAAAATTAGCAATATGGAGATAGGATTAATCCATTCCTGGTATCTAGATTGTTTTGCATGGTCACCAGCGTATGAGGCACCAACTGATAACTCTGATGTCATACAATGTTGCTCAATAGATTGATTACCTGTTCTTGGATAAATTCCAAAACATAAGTTGTACAAATTGTTGCAGAGAAATTCTATCATCAAATATACATATTTTTGTTCATGCTCAACGTGATAGACTAGCAATAAAAGTCCAACAAAACAAGACACATCGATAACTGTTGACAAAAATGTGATCATTCAAAGCGATACCTCTATAATTTCAAAAAATGTTTTCGATTTAGATTATATGTATAGTGGAACATATGACAATAATACCACCGCCTTACAAGTGATGTAGGCTTTTAGATATTGATTTTGAGTTCTCCATTGGTATGCTAAACCTAAATGGTAGTCACCCACCGTTGCTATGAGCAACTAAGTAAAATAAATGGATAAATTCCATACTCTGCATGACTCTCGTCTAAATGAAGAAATTACAACTTTTACCTTGCATTGCACCCAAATCTTTGTCTTTTGCATACTTTTATTCCAGAAGTTTATAATAAAGTCTGATTTTAACATTTGTATCCTCCAATTAATAATAAAAAAATATCAGAGACTGGATCTAGGGTTATTTTATTTGTACTTTGACAAATTTTAAATATCGTATCGTTTCGAGGATACTATAGTAATATTTGAATATTTTCTATTGACGAATCTAATTAATCTAGCAAGTGCCTTAGTATTGTTACTTGTGAGATTTTAACAAAAACACACGGTTATTGAGACCACCTAAAGTTGTTTCTTCCACACTCAACGAATAATGACCCGGGTGTACTTGATAGAGGGTCCGTCACTCTATAAAAGGAGGATCGGAGATCTAAATTCTATCCGGAGGCAGTTATTCTCAATAGTTTCTGTGGATCCCCCTTCCTAATTAAAGCATGCTATTTTACGGAATCTTTGCTCGTCCCTTGTTTCCAGAATGAAGCGCACGGGTATTATGTATCTTGAAAAGTGAAATTATGTCGGGTTTTCTTGACATTACGTATAGGTTTTTTTTATACAACGTAGGTTTTTCTACAAGATGTTAACTTAGCACTAGCTGATGGACACTTGTTGTGAACTCATTTTGT